ACGTCTGTCTTCGGCGGGGTGTGTCATATCATTCTCGCCCCGCACGTGCTTCATCCGCTCGCTTACAATGCGCCTGCTCCGCGTTTTACATGTGCTAATATCTCGATTGTGTTCTCCTCCGACACACACTCTCTGCTGAGATCGCTCAGACACTCAACATACACACACACAGACACACACACACACACACGCTGGTGTAGACACGCACACACACACACACACACACACTGGTACACACACACACACACCCCCCTAAACTCACTGAACACACACACACACACACTCGTACACACACACACACACACACACACACACACACACACACACACACACACACACACACACACACACACACACACACACACACACACAGGTTGCGACGAGTTTACAAGAGCGCGCAAAGCAGCTGCGCGATGTTCTCTCGTCGCTTGACTCGCCCAAACCCAGCGGCGACAGTGACGTCGCCAACACACCGGCCACAGTTGCGCCCACCGCCACCACCACCGCCAGCGAGGCGGCGACTGTGAGTGCTTCAGATGCAGACGTTCAGGCGTCTGTGGATGCCCTTGCCCGCACCGCCCCCAACAACAACACCAGCGAACCTGCCACATCGCCAGAGGCAGCAACGACAACCACAGCAACAGCTGCGACAGAGGCAGCAACGACAACCACAGCAACAGCTGCGACACAGCAAGCGAGCGACGACGATGCGGCTGCGGCTGCGGCCACCGTGCTTGTGGTTGACAAGCAGGATGAGGCGCACTCTGGTGAAATGGCTGAGGATCGCGTGGAAAAGGACTATGGCCAGGCGCACCAAGAGGACCTCGACACATACACGAGCCGCCGCTGAGTGAGTGTGTGTGTGAGTGTGCGGCAAGCTCCACGTCCTTGGTTGCCAGCTGCGCCAATACAAGATAAAGGGCACATGATAATTCGTTCCGATCAAGAAAGGCCATTTACTTTGTTGAAGACAAGCACGACGGCAACGCCAACGACAAACCATGCACATCACCAAGCTCGCACTCACAAAGAGCGGACGAGCGAGCGAGCGACACACACACACACACACACACACACACAGCAAGAGCGCAAGGTCACAGGTACTTTGGGCGGTGAACGAACACGATGAAGAAGAACGACGAAAAGGAAGGGCACACAACACGCACGGGAAAAGGACAAGACCAAAAAGTTCAGTCAGGCGTCAGCAAAACGCAAGCAAGCAAGCAAACATGGCTTCTATGTTTGGTTGTTGGGTACAATTTGTGACGGGACAGCAGTAAAAGGAAAAAAACAAGCAGTAGCATGTGTAGGTAGAGGTATGGAAGGAGAGATAGACTGTGAAACAGCAGGACAACGACGACAACGCCAATGGTGGGTTGGGTAGGGGGGGGGGGGAGGAGGCGGGCATTAAAACCGACGACAATGTGTAAAGAAAAGAGAAAGGGAAGGGGGTAGTGAGAGGAAAAAAGTCTCTTAACCGAAGCTCTCAATGTAGAACTTAACGGCGCGGTTGGCTGCAAGCTGGCCCTTATCCAGGGCGTCGTACAGCGAGTCGAGACCGCGCAGGGAGCCGCAGTAGCCAATGTGCACGCGGCCGCCCTGGGGAAGCTTCTGCAGACACTCTGCAACGCGGCTGTGCAGGCGGTTCCAGAACACGTCGCGGCGCTCGCCAGCCTCCGCCTGCAGGATGGGACCTGCCGGGCCGTTGGGGTCGCGGCCAATCTGGCGATGGTAATTGTTGTGTGTTGTTTGTTGAGAGTTCGAGAGAGAGAGGAGGGAGGGAGGGAGGGAGAGGAAACAATCATATTGGTGAGGCTCATGTATAAAACAAGAAAGAGCAGGAAAGAAGCAAGGCAAGCAAAAGCATGCAGCGCAAGGAGGCAATTGTACCCATCGCAGGCACAAACCAAGAACAAAATATGGGAAGCTTACCCTCTTCTCGGTCTCCTGGCAAACCTCGCGGATGTAACCGCCGTAGGCGCCAAAGACGGTCTGGCCATCGGGCTTGTTGTAAAACTCGCTGCGGTGGAAGAACCAGATGTTGTCGCGCAGCTCCTCAAAGCGCGACTCGGGCAGGCGGTTGAGGTAGGCGCACATGGGGGTGGCACCCACGGAGAAGCCAACCATGAGCACAAAGTCGCCGTTGATAAAGTCGCTATCGGCAAGGCTGGACTTGAAGCCGCCAATGACGACGGCGTCGACGTTGCACTTGACGTCGTCGAGGAGGCCAGACATGCCGCCCTCCTGGTTGCTGAGGAGGCGCTGCTCCAGGGACGACTCCTGCTGCTCAGCTTCCTCCGAGGCAGAGCGGTTGGCCTGGTACGAGTGGCCGGCCATGATGCGGCCGTACTTGAAGTCGAGCATGGCGGTGAGGGCGCGGGTCCAGGCGTTGACCTTGAGGTCGGACACCTTGATGTGCAGCTCGTATTCGTCCTCGGGCACGTTGGTGACAATGGTGAAGGGATGCTGGTCGCTGACGGAGATCTGGGGCACGCGCAGCAGGAGATAGTCGCCCGGGAAGAACTTGATCTTCTTGCAGCGGAAGCGCAGGATGAGGACAACCTCGACGCGGCCGCGGGCGCCAGGGGTGGTGAGCTCCCACATCTCGCAGCGCACCTTCTCGCTGCGGCGGCGGCACCACAAAAAGTCGAGAATGGAGATGCCGGCGACGACGAGGAAGACAACCCAGAGGTACGGGTCACCGAGGACACGGCCGGCGCCGTGGATGGAGCCAACGGCGAGCATGGAGTAGGCGGCCCACACGTGCCACTTCTTGAAGCGCTTGTGCTTGCGCTTGGCGAGGACGTAATAGACGGCGACGACGGCGATCATGCAGGCGGTCATGAAGACGCCCGTGAACCAGGGCAGCATCCACGGGCCGCCGCGGAAGTGATAAATGTCGGAGAAGTATTCGAGGACGGCAGGACGGTCTTTGCTGATCTGGTCGACAATGGCCTGCTTGGTCGGGTTTGTGGCGAGGTCGGAGATGAAGCGGTGGTAGGCAAAGAGGGTGCCAATGTGGCCGCCAATGTGGAAGAGCATTGTAATGACGCAGAGCCAGCCGACGTACTTGTGGTAGATGACAAGGGAGCCGTTTGCGCGGGGCAGGAAGCTGCCGAGCATGCTGCTCTCCAGGCTGGTGTTGAAGCCGTTGAGCACCATGACAAAGACGGCCGGGAAGAGGATGTAGAAGGGCGTGGCGCCGACACGGGCCATAAACAGGCTGATGCGGACAACCTGGGCGTGGGGGGCGTAGCACGTGGCAGAGCCACCCCAGCCGGCGAGGCCAAGCGTGATGAGGGAGATGACGAGGATAAAGGCCATGGTGCGCCAGTAGCGGTTGATAAAGGCGTCGACGCGGGAGGTGATGGATTGGGACTTGCGGCTCTCCAGGCGCTTGACGGCGAGGATGGTGCGGGGATCGTCCCAGAGACCAGTCAGGATCACCATCAGTGGGGCAACCACAAGCGCAACCGTGCGCACGGAGAGGAACTCAAACACGTAGAAGCACGCGTACGTGTGGCTGCGGTCCCGTGACGCCACCTTGATCTGTTGTGTGTTTGTTGGATTGGCACGAAAAAAAAAGTGTGTGTGTGTGTGGGGGGGGGGGTGTGAGACGGGGAGGGAGAGGAGCGTTGGCAAGTGTGGTTGTGGTTGTGGTTGTGGTTGCGTGTGGGCGAGTGTCAGGGTACGAGAGAAGGTGGGAAAGCACAGAGAGAGAGAGAGAGAGAGAGAGACAAGCAGGAAGGGTTGAATGGACACGAGGCGACTCATGTGTGCGTGCGCGCGTGCTTGTGCACATGCACGCCCGCCCTGGAAGCACACAAGACAGACAAACGATACTGAAAGACACCCACTCCACACAAGCACACACACACACACACATGGCGCACAACACACACCTCCTCGTCGATGGCGTGGGCAAAGATGATGGCCGAGTTCATGAAGAGGCAGACGGAGATGAAGAAGGTGAGAAAGTTGACCTTACGGAACCAGGTGTGGGTGCTGCGCTGGGTTGGGGGCAGGAGCTTCATGAGGAGGAGGCAGCGGTCTGCGGTGGTGAGGGAGAGGAGGAGGGAGGAGATGAAGCTAATCCAGACGTTGCTGCGAGGCTGGTCCTGGCGGGCAGTGTAGATCTTGATGACCTGGAGGATGGCGGCGGTCACGAGGAAGATCCACTGCACGACGATGCGCCAGTGCACGCGGTTCTGGCGAATCTCGTCGTCGAGCTTCATCATGTAGCCAAAGAGGCAGCAGATGACAATGGTGAAGGTGAGGTCGGCGAGGCCCTCGTAGGGGAGGCCGAGAAGCGGGTGCTGGATGTTCTTGGCGTCCTTGCTGAGCCACACCACGTGGAAGATGCAGGCGAGGACACAGGTGAAGAAGACGGACGACTGGCGCCAGGGCACGACGCGGAAGTTGTAGATGAGGCGGTAGGTGAAGAGGGCGCCCAGGATGAGGAACACGGCGGTGAGGATGCCGGCGTGGAAGCGCTGAAAGTCGCCGTTGGTGAGGGTGGGGACGGACAAGCACGGGTCGCTGTAGTTGCGCGGAGCGCATGAGAAGCTGTCTTGCTGCGCAGCCGCTGAGTCAATGGTCATGGTTGCAAACGCTGCAACCAGCAACAGGGCTGCCGCGCCCCACATCCGAGGCCCGGTCATCATCATCTTCTCCTGCAGGCGTGACACAAAGAGAGAGAGAGGGAGAGAGGAGAGGCGGGGGAGGCAACGAGTCAGGTGGACATGGGTGAGCGAGTGCAGTGATGGATGCAGTGGCGTGCAGACGTGTGCTGACGTGGGTATCATGCAGCACAGCACACAGCACTGTCTTGGCGTGGCAGTACAAGCGAGTGCGTGCGTGTGTGCGTGTGTGTGTGTGTGTGGAAGGGGGGGGGGAGGCAACATTCAAAGAACAACACCACCCAATCACCGCAGTGCACACTCATCCGAGACCACCGAAACAACCCACAACCACAACACAGTACAGCTCAAGCGTGCCGTGATCGTGGACGATCAAGCAGTGCAACCCCACCTGTTCGTTGCTGTAGTATTGGAGGGGAGGTCACAAAACAACACACGCGCGCACACACACAAAAAGGAGAAGGTCACGCGCCTGCAAAGGGGGTGTGGTACGTGGCAAGAAGATGAGAGTGAGGTGAGGCAAGGCAAGGCAAGCCGTGGTGGTGATGGTGTGGCCAGCGCTGGTTGGAGGTCGGCACAAGGCTGCACAGAGCAAGGCAGGGAAGGCAGCCACGAGATGATGCGTCGTGATTCAGCAGGCAAACACCCACACAAGCTCCTCACTCACCACACACGTCTCAGCACACAATGATGAAAGCCAGGTTTGTGGTTGCGCGCAGTGCTGAGAAGATTATGCGAGGACTATCCACCGCGTCCACTTGTCATGGGGATTTGTGAAAATCTTCATTTATTTGTCCACAAAACACGCATTAGGTGCGAACCATATACCGTAGGCTCTTGCATGATGCTCCAGACACTGAATTCAGTGGCATGACGAGCGTGACGAGTTGTTGTTGTTGTTGTTGGTGGTGGTGGTTGTTGTTGTTGTTGTTTGTTGTTGTTGTTGTTGTTGTTGTTGTTGTTGTTGTTGTTGTTGTTGTTGTGTGTATGTGTGTGCGTGCGTGTTGTATCATGTCGTGGCTCGTGCGCCAGCACCAAGAAACACACACACGCATACACATGCACGCGGACACATACACGCACGCACTGACGCGCAAACGTCAACCGCGCGTCAATCATTTGACATTGGCGCCTCTTCCTCTGTGCGATCTTCGTCCCCAACCATGTCATCGTCGGGATTCCTGCTGTCCACAACATTGCCGATTTCCTTGTCGGCCCCATCACCACCAGCATCATCATCGCCATCACCAACACCACCACCATCATCATCATCATCATCGCCACCATCGCCATCACCATCACTATTCTCGTTGGCGGTGCCGTCGTGGTCGTCATGCACAATTTCATCGTAGTCTGGCGCACGAGGCAGAAAGTCTTCACCGGGGTACATGGCGGAGAAGAGGCACTGGGCCTCTGCAATCGCATCGTCAAAGCCAGGCGACGCCGATCCGAAACCACTGTGTGTGTGTGTGTGTGTATGTGCGACAGTCGAGGGCGAGGGCTGTGGTAAGCACACGACATGGGCAACCATGGCACAAGCAGTGCCACCCAGCAGAAAGTACACACAAATGGACGTACATGAACACCCCCCCCCCCACACACACACATAACCACACAATCACACAATCACACAAGTTCCCACACGCATAATCACACATCACCACACAATCACACAAATTCCCACACCTGCATGTCCAGAGGCCGTGGACGTTGGTGGTGTGTGTCTCAGGGCGGGTCCAGTCGCCAGCCGGGGAGAGGCCACGGAACATCACACTCCACACCAGCTGTGGTGCTGGCGCTGGTGTGTCTTCTGTACCGCCCTGGGTCTGTTGTTCTTCAACATCACCAACCACACCATCGCTACTCGTCGTCACAGATTCGCCTTCATCGCCGCCATCGCTGTCGCCATCATGCTGCTGCGGCACCTTCCCTGGCGTGCTCGCACTGTCGCCAACATCCTCAGCAGCAGAAGCAGGACAAGTGTCACCACCCTCAGCAACGTCAGCAACGTCAGCAACCTCAGCGGGGCGTGCATCTGGCTGCTCATGTTGGTCTTGCTGCTGGTCTTGCGTGTGCGCAGGCCCCGTGTCCTTGCCCTCGGCTCCCGGCTGTTCTTCGGTGTCCTTCTGGGGAGCAGCCTTGGTGTGAGTTGGGAAGAGGAGGCTCAGCACGCGCTGAAGACCATCCTGCCAGTCGTTGTCGCGTGCATGCTCCGTGATGAGGTGGCACATCACTGGCAGTGACACACGCAAGTAAGGTGCCACGGTGAGGATTGCGCGTGCATGTGCGCACGTGTGTGAGCGGGCGTCCGTGAAACAAAACAAGACCAGTGAACCAAGGACAAAAAACAAAAAACAAGGGGGAGGGGAAGGGATGACCACGAGCAGAGGCACAAACACACCGCGGGCGAAAAAAAAAAAGCGCACGCACAGACGCAGGGGTACATACATTTGCACATGGCTACACACAACACAGGCATGCACAATCAAAACGCGCGCACAGACACAGACACAGACAGACACACACACACACACACAGACACAGACACACACAAACAGACACAGACAGACACGCAGAGACAGACACACAGACACACACACAGACACAGACACACACACACCGTAACCGCGTGGGCAAACGCCTGCGTTGGAGGAGAAGATGAGTGCCCTGCACACGTGGTCCAGATGGCACGTTGCTGCAGGCACATTCACAATGGCCACCGCCTGCTGCGAACTCACGTACTCGCACTCATCGCACTTGAGCAGGAAGGCTGCGCGCGAAAACTTCGACAGCATTGGAGGCGACACGTCGGCGCCCGAAACAGATGGGGCAGTGTCGCAGGGGAGCACCACGTTTGGCGCTTGGATGTCAAACTCATCACCACTATCACCGCTACCACTACTACCCAGCCGCACGCCACGCACGCTGGTCGCTGTTGATGGCGCATCGGTAGACGAGCCGTCTTCCTGCTGTCGCTGTTGCTGTTGTTGTTGTTGTTGTTGTTGTTGTTGTTGTTGTTGTTGTTGTTGTTGTTGTTGTTGTTGTTGTTGTTGTTGTTGTGGTTGTTGTTGTTGTTGTTGTTGTTGTTGTTGTTGTTGTTGTTGTTGTTGTTGTTGTTGTTTTGGCGTTGTGGTAGAGACGACGATGGACTGCATGTTGAGCATGTAAACACCTCCAAATACGGCGCACAGCCTGTAGCGCAGGTGCGTTGAGGTTCGTGAGCAGATGCACAACTTGTGACAATGCAACGTGGAAACAAGGGAGGTCGAAGGAGGAGGACAAGGGCAACCAGCGTTCACAAGCACCAAAAGCACGCAAGAAGTAACAGTCACAAACGAAGCACACAAAGAGCGAAGGCGGGAGGAAACAAGACCAAAGCACGACTGCAGCATTCGCAACAAGCACTAGACAAGAACAAGAACAAGAACAAGAACAAGAACAAGAACAAGAACAAGAACAAGAACAAGAACAAGAACAAGAACAAGAACAAGAACAAGAACAAGAACAAGAACAACAACAACAACAACAACAACAACAACAACAGCGCAGGTGGACGCACCTGCAAAACGCCTGTGGAAGCTCGCCAATGCCGTACGCGGGGAAGATGAGCGGGCTTGGGCAGAAGACGCCAGCGGACGTGAGGAATCGTCCCATTGCCGCCACCCCCTCCTCGGCCGTCGCCGTGCCGTCGAGCCAGGTCATGGAGCTCAGGATGTACTCCTGCAATTCCGGCGCGAGACCAAAAGTGGACGAGAGGAGCGCCCCAAAGGTCGTGTCTGGCAGCAGCAGTCGTGCACGTGCACGACCAGGGTGAGAAGCAAGGTTTGGTTGAAATTTTGGTGTGCAGATGACACCAAAGCGAGTCACACACACACACACACACACACACACACACACACACACACACACACACACACACACACACACACACACACACACCTTGTGGCACTTGCTTGTCTTCCGCCCCCTTTGCGACTTCGAGGCAAAACTGCAGGAACTTGACGAGCTTGCGCTTGCTCATGGGCGATATCATCTTGTTGGTCATCAGGTTCGCCTTTGTGCACGGCACCTGTGTGAGTGAGTGAGTGAGTGAGTGAGTGAGTGAGTGATGATGTGATGGTTGTGGACGAAAGGCAAGCTCATGGACAGCGATATGCAGTGCATAGTACGCCATTGTTGACAGAACTCGTGAGGTTGTTGCAGCGAACGTAATCATGCATCCAACTCCACACACATCGGTGAGTGTGCCGTTGTGTTGGCAGAGGCGGGCCACTTCCTTGAACTCAAGATAGCGGCTCGTGTTTGAGGAAATCAGCAGCTGCACCAACTTTCCACGCGCAAAGCAGGCCTATCAGTCCGTGGATATGGTGTACATTTTGTGTGTGCGTGTGTGTGTGTTGGGGGGGGGGGGGTGTGTGAGAGGAGATGTGAGAGGCAGTGGGCTTGCGACGTGCTCGAGGTGTGAACAACAATGACAAAGAGGAAGGCGGCAGACGGTATTGTTGAGACAACATCAAACATACAGGTGACACGGGGATAGACGCAGCAGGGACAGATACGCAAAAAGTACACAAACGCACGCACATACGTGCACGTATCACACACACATACGTACACACGCACGCGAACATGCACACACGTACACACGTACACACGTACACACACACACGTACATACACGCACACCTTTGGGCAGAGATCAATCAGGACTTGACGGCGGCGAGGAATCTCAACGCCGCTGTCCCAGATCAAGACATCCTCCACACCGTGCTGCAAGCGAATGCCAGCTTCTTGTGCATCTTCACTGCTGCTGCTTGCCTGAGTGTTTCCTTTCTCTTGTAATTCCTCAAAGTCGTTGATGGTCAAGGCTGCCCATGAGCCACCATAGTAAGGGAAGGCGTCTGTGTGGATCACCTTTTTGCCGACACGGGCACAGGCGGCCGCCACCAGCGACTGCACCAGGCCTGTTTGGGGCAAAGGGGAACGAAACAGGGTGGGCGAGTAAGAGGAGGAGAGGGGGAGGTGGAGAAGGAGGAGAGTTGTGCGTGCAAAAGAGATCAGGTGGAGAGGACAGAGATATGGATAGAACGAGAGAGAGAGAGAGAGAGAGAGAGCGTGTGTGTGTGAGTGAGGGAGACAGAAATAGAGAGAGATAGAGAGAGATAGAGAGAGAGAGGAGTATGTGTATGTGTATGTGTGTGACAGACAGACACAGACGCACAGGCACACAGACAGACAGACAGACAGACAGACAGACAGACACACAGAGACAGACAGACACACACACACACACACACACACACACACACACAGACAGACACACACACACACACACACACACACACACACACACACACACACACAGACACACCAACCTGTGCCAACAAGCACCACGTCGGCAGAGCGCAAGTCGTCCTCCATTGAGCTGTTCACGACAGGACAAAACAATGACCAATCTACAACTCGCACCAAACTCCTCACAAAATGCGCAATAAAACACACACATTTTCGTATCCACCACTGCCAACAACGCCAACAACTCCAACAACACCGACCGACCAACCGAGGCGAACCCGGTGAGTGCGAGCGAGCAACCAAGCACCAACGAACGTGTGGGCATATGGAGAGAGGGAAGAGAGGGAGGGGCAGAGATGGTTGATATGAGGATGGCGTTGTATGGTGTGGAGATGGGGGTGGAGGAGCAGGCTGTTGCGTGAGAGGCTCTCAAACCCAGCACGCCCTGTTGTGGTGCGGTGCCCGGTGTGTTTGCTTTGCTTGGTTTTGTTTTTGTGGGTGGTCCTTCCCCTCAGCTCCGCTCACCCATTCACACCTCGTGGCTGACGTTGCCGTGTTTTGTGCGGTTGTGCTGTGGATTTGTGCTGTCTGCGTGCGTGTGTGTCCTGCGTGTGCGCCCTGCGTGTGTGTCCTTCCTCCTGGCTTGCCTCAGCCGTTACGATGCCCAGCGTGAAGACCCCGGCCATGCGCCGCAGCAGCGAGCGCCACGCCAACAACATCACCCGCAAAGGAAACGTGCCCGCCTCTCGCGTGAGTATCCTGCCACACCAACAATCCTGCCACACCAACAATGCTTATGCTAATGCTTTGCATGCCCACGCCTCACTTCGCTGCGCACCGATGCGCTGTACTTTGTGCTTGCTCATGTCATCCCTCTCTCTGGGGTTCTTTGGTGGCTTGTCGTGGTCTTGCGTGTTTGGATTTGTCCATTCCATTCACACCAACAGAAACAGAAGAAGAGCGAGTTCCCCGTCGGCCCCGTTGTCCTTGGCCTGCTCATCTTTGTCGTGTGCGGCTCCGGTACGACCATTCTATGTGTGTGTGTGTGTGTGCGTGTGTGCGTGCGAGTGTGTTTGAGAGAGAGAGAGAGCGTGTGTGTGTGTGTTTGAGTCTGCTCGTTTGACTGTGTGTGTTGTTTATGTGTGAGGCTGTTCCATGGTCTCTGCGTGTTGGCCTCTTACGTTCTTTCCGTGTGACGGCATGACCCACGTCGCTCTTGCTTGCGGACCAACTTGCACAACCACTCACACGCCATCACGCACGCACACACACACACACACACACACACACACACACACACACACACACACACACACACACACACACACACACACACACACACACACACACACACACACACACACACACACACACACACACACACACACACACACAAAACCACCGCCACCACCGACAGCCATCTTCCAGCTCCTGCAGAGCGTGCAGTTTGGCGGTCCTCCTGCATAAGTGCCGCTCGCTTCTCTCGTTCTCCTCCCCTAACTTTCTCGCTCGTGTCCCCTTCGCCCCCTCCTCCTCGTTTCTGCCAATCTCATAAGCGTCCTCTTCTCCGGGCTCTCCGGTTACTGGTGACTTGAGAAAAAGAACCAACAACCAGCACCACACTTGACACAACTCCGCAGAAGGCACCACTTGTACTCCCTTGTCAAATCGTGAATGCACACAGCTATCGTGAGGCTGACGCCGGCAATGTGCGTGCGCGCAAGCAAAACACACACACACAAGCAGTAGGGAAGTCATAGGAATATCATACATACATTCATACAAAGCTGTGGAGCATAAACCGCTGACTAGAAGCTGGATGCAACACGGACGAGCAATACATAGCCGAGGCGCACGTGCAAGCGAGCCGCATGCACCTCTTCAGTCATACAAACCGACACGGAGGCACGGAGAAACGGATAGACATACATACATACACACAGACAGACAGACAGACGGACGGACAGACAGACAGACAGACAGACGGACGGACGGACAGACAGACAGACAGACAGACAGACACACACACACACACACACACAGACAGACGGACGGACGGACGGACGGACAGACAGACAGACAGACAGACACACACACAACTCCTGCCCACGCACAATGGGTGTGCTAGACGGATGACGTGTTGAGGTGGTCGTGCGAGGCCGACGCAGCAAGCATGGCAGGAGGAATGTTGGCCAGGAGCGTGTCGCATATGCGCGCAATCTCCCTGAACGACGGCCGCCGCTGCCAGTCCCTGTTCCAGCACCTCAGTAGCAGGCCGCGCAGCCACTCGGGCCACGCCTCGTCCAGCGACAGCCGGTTGCCGGCCTGCAGCGCCTCCTGCATCTTGGCCAGGATTGGGCCGCGCGATGACTTGCCAATCTCCTCAAGCAGCAGCGGTGCACGCAGCGCAGCAAGCTCCCACGCCACCACGCCAAACGACCACACGTCTGCCGCAGCCGTGTATGCGCCCTCCCCAGCCAGCACCTCGGGTGCCATGTACAGCGGCGTGCCCACTGCAGAGGTCAGATACGGCGACACTGCGCTCGGCCGCGAATCCTTGCCGCTGCTGTTGCTGCTGCCCTTCATGGACACCGCTGGGTCCTCAAACAGTGTGCGCAGCGTGCCAAAGTCTGTAATCTTGGGCTCCAGGCGTGCGGACACGAGCACGTTTGCTGTCTTGAGGTCGCGGTGCACCAGGCCCTTGCCGTGGATGTGCTCCATCCCGCGCGCAATCCCGTGCATAAACCGCATGCGCTGCTCCCACACCACCGCGCGACGCTGCTCAGCTGCAGTGCCATCACCATCACCATCACCATCACCATCATCACCATCACCACCCCTCGCCTCTTCGCCCTCCAAGCCAGCACCAGCGATGCTCGCGCGCCGCGTGTTGCGCCTATCCGCCGTCTTCCACACGCTTGTGCCGAGAAACACGTCCAGCGACCCATTGGGCACCAGCTCCAAGATGATGAATGGCGAGTCGTCCTGCAGCCGGCCCGCACCAAGAAACTGCACCACGTTCTTGTGGCGACACGACGTCATGAAGAACTCAACCTCCCGCCGAAACTCGGGCGAGAAGCCCGCGCCCACACCGCCACCGCGCCCACCGTGGTCGTCGTCCACGTCAGCAAGGCAGCCGCCGAGCGTGCTGCCCAGCATACCGCCGCACGCGTGCTTGTTGAGCACCTTCACGGCCACAACCTGGTCAAACCACATGCCGCGCCACACCTGGCTGAACGTGCCTGGGGACTGGGCGTCAATGCGCTGCTGCAGCACGACGTCCGCCGCCTTGGCCTCCCACGCCTCCCGCAGCTGCAGGTTCTCCATCTCCTTCTCGTCAATGAGCTTTGCGCGCAGGTCAAGGTCATAGTGCACCTGCTGCCAGTACTTGGCGCTGCGCCACACAGCAAGCCCAAGCAGCAGCGCAGCAACGGTCCCCAGCGAGCCAGCGACAGCGTACGGCCACTGCGGTTGCGACTGCGGCACACACTCGCCCGTGCGCGTCTCCGTGTATGCCGGGATGCACGTGCACGTGTACTCGAGCGCAGGCACGTTGTACAGGCGCGGGAAGGACAGGTCCACCATGGCAGGCACGTGCGACTGCGAGATGGCGCACGTGGCATACAGGCCCTCCAGCTCCAGCCGCGTCAGGAACCGGCCGGGCGTGCTGTCCTCATCCCCGTGACAGCGCACAGAGGCAAGCGTCGCTGCATCCTGGGTTGTGGACGTTGTCGTTGTCGTTGCCGTCGCTGACGTGTGGGCATCACCACGGCTCGCAGACGCGACCGCAGCAGCAGACGCCGCCGACGAAGCAGCTGCGAGTGTGTCGCCCATGCTGGTCAGGGCGGCATTCATGACGGTTGGAGAGACCTGCCTGAAACGCAGCGCGCCAATGGACGAGCGGAGGTGGCGCAGCGTGATGTAGTCTGCATTGTCCGACACGTCAAGCACGCGCAGGTGGCGGAAACACACGCCCAGGAAACGCACGCGGTGGTACTCGGTGTTGCGCGACACGTCCAGCCGCAGGTTCCGTGCAATGAGCACCTCCAGGCTGTCCTCAGACTCGCACCAGTTCTCCGACATGTCCGACTGCGTCCCAGAGATGTCCAGCACGCGCAGGGTGCGCAGCAGCGTGTCGCTCGCCTGCACGTGTGTCAGGCGAAGCGCGGCGTTGCCAGCAACGTCCAGCTGCACAATCTTCGGGAACACGCGGAAGAGCGGGTGGATGTCGCGCAGGGCCGGGTTGCCGCGCAGCAGCAGCGCAACTGTCTCCAGGCTGCACATGTTGTCCTCGCCCGCGGTTGCGCCCGCGTCCCAGCTGACATCGTCCTGCACGTAGGCGAGGCGGTTGTGCGAGAGGTCGACGTGTCGCACATACGCCAGGTTGCACAGCTGCTGCGCAGAGAGGAGCTCAATGGCGTTGTGCTGTGCAAAGAGGTGCGTGAGCGCAAACATGCGGGGAACCACGGCCGGCAGCAGCGGGCCAATCCCGTTGTTGGAGATGTCCAGCACCTGCAGGAACGGCAGCGCGAGCGTGTCCGGCAATGCCGTCAAACCAGCGGATGATATGTCCAAGTATCGCAGCTGGCGGCAGCTTCCAACATCGGGGAGCGTCGCCGTTGCGCCGACACACCCTGCCACGTCAAGGGCCAGCAGCCGGTCGCAGGGAATGCGGGGCAGTGGGAAGGCGTTGAACTTGAGAACAAGCGTCTGCAGCGTTGCGGACAGCGCGTCCAGCAGCGACGGCGACACGTGGCGCAGGCCGTCGTTGAACGAGAACTCAAGCGACACGAGATTGGAGGCTCCCGCGAAAGCGTTGTCGCTGATGCGCGTCAACCCGGTGCCCGATATGGTGAGGTGTTGCAGGTGCGGCAGCGACGGCAGCGCCCCCGCCCCGCCCAGGTGCGTGAGCCGCGTCACGTTGGCGGCGCGCAACGTTGTCAGCAGCGGCAGCTGGCCCGTGGTGATGGGCTCGAGTGTGGTGATGCGGGTGAAGCTCACGTCGAGCACGCGCAGCTTTGGCGTGTGGCGTAGTGGCAGCAGGGAGTCGACAGCCGTGTTGCTGATGTCCAGCACCTCCAAGTCAGGCCAGGCCGCAGCAACCTGTTCCAGCATGGCAGAGGTGACGGCGGTGCTGGTCAGGTTGAGGTGGCGGATGGAGGCGCCGATGCTTGCAAGCACGTCGTGCAGGCGAGCCGGCGGCAGCCGCACATACGCCATGTCCAGGTGCTCCAACTGTGCGAGCGGGGCAAAGGGGGCGGAGCCAAAGTGGCACGCGCCAAGCCGGCGCAGGGTGACCACGCGCAGGTTTGGCAGCAGCTGCAGCTGCTCACGGTTCACCAAGCGGGAACAGCTCGTCACATCAGCGGCAGCCCCGTCACTGTGGCCGCCCTGCTTGCTCTCTGATGATTGTGGTGATGAAGATGCTGATGATGATTGGTAGGCGCCATCGCTGGGGCTGTCCCTGATGAGGAAAGGGTCGATGTCGGGCGGGTTCACGCCGGGGATCGGCGCCAGGGAGCGGTCAACAATGACCAGGTCTGACAGCAGCAGGTGCGTCATGTTGTGGTGGAACAGCGAGGGCGAGAGGTCAAGCACGATGCGAGCGGAGGTGAGGTTGAGCACACGCACCCCGAGCGAGGTGTCGCCGGTGACATTCACGCCGATGGTGTTGCTGCTGACATCCAGCAGGTCCAGCTGCCGCAGGTGCCAGTCGACAATGTCGAGTTGAGAGAAGAGGAGGTTGTCGCTGAGGCGGATGACGCGGAGGGCCGGGGAGGAGACGAGCGACACCAGCCCGCTGCGGTGCTCCACACGAAGATTACACGAGGACATGTCGACGCGTTCCAGGCGCGGCATCCCCGTGAAGAGGTCTTTCCCGCGGAGGCGCGAGAGCGGCGTGTGCGAGACGTTGAGCACGCGGAGGTTTGGCAGCGGCATGGACAGGAGGCCCGTCAGGTCCAAGGGCCCCGTGGCGTGGCGGATGGACAGGTGCTCCACGCTCTCCGTGAAGTGGCGGCCGTTGACGCGGTTGTAGAGGAAGTCGTCGGTGATGCTGACGAGCGGGTTGCCATCGTAAATGATGCGCTTGGGGCCGTAGCGCGCGCTCTGCCGGTGCAGCGTGCTGAACTGGTTGTAGCTGACGTCGAAGGTGTCAAAGTTGAGAAACGGGTCCTCGGCGCCATTGTTGGCGGAGAGGAAGAGATCGGTGATTTGGCAGTGGCGCAAGGCCAAGTTCACCACGCGCAGGCGGAAACACCGCTGCCAGAACAGGTTCATGATGCCGCGCGTTGGTGAGTGCTCAACCGTGAGCGAGTGCACTTGGAGGCCGTTCTCGGGCGAGGGCAGCAACAGCATGGACAGGCGACCCGCGTCAGCGTGCACAAAGTAGGAGAAGGTGAGGTCGATGGTGGCGTTGCTTGGGAGGAGCTCGTAGATGGCGTCGCGCACCCCCGCGTCCACGCCACCGCGAAAGGTGAGGGCGACCGTCCGATTGCTTGCCGCACTCAGGTGGCAACGAAAGAATTCCAGCTGCTCTGGAACCAGCACAAGGCTCGACGTGGCGTCATTCGTGACCGGTCCAGACGCGACATGGGTGGTGTTGGTCACCGTGTCGCCCTCTGCGGTGGTGATGGTGAGGGACGTTGTTATTGGGCGCCGCGTGGGACCGCCACCTCCTCCCTCCGATGCTTCTGTCGCTGGCGTGCACTCGCACGTGGGAAGGGAGTGGCTGGGGACGGACTGCGGCGTGAAGCCGTACAGGCGGATGAGCGGCGCGCACTCCTCAAACAGCGTGTCCTCCTGCACACAGCAGTTGATGGCGCCGTGCTCGTCTGCGCCGCAAATACCAGAGCCACCAGGCATGCGGCACAGGTAAACGTGGTCTGCACCCACCTCAAGGGGCAACCACATGCTCGCTGCCACAGCTGCAACCAGTAGCCCCACCAGTGTGACAGCGCCGCCGCCGCCGCCACCGCCGCCGCACACGGACGACGACCAACTCATCAAGGGGTCCTTGTCGGTGGGTGGGGTGGTGGTGGGAAAAGAGATTGAGCAAAGAGCAGCAGAGAGAGAGGGGAGATGCTGGTTGTGGAGAAATGGCGATGACACCAACCAATTGTCAAACGAGAAACGGCAACAAGCGAGCAGAAGCAGGAAAGTGGTGCGAGCGACAGCAGCGAGAAACATGAGCGGTGGAGCGCACACCAGTGGTGGTGATGGTGGTGGGTTGCAGCAGGGTAAGAGTGGGGGCGGTGGATTTGGTAGTGGCGGCGAGATGCCGGTTGTCTCAGACACACGTCTCTTCATCGGAAACCTCGATACACGCGTCACAGAGTGCGTACCGTACCGTGCATATGTGTGAGTGAGTGTGTGTGCATGTGTGTCAGTGTGTGTGTATGTAAGAGTGTGTGTGTATGTCAGTGAGAGAGAGTGTGTGAATGAATGAATGATTGTGAGTCAGTGAGTGTGTGAGATAGAGAGAGTGTGTGAGTGTGAGTGCGAATGAACTGGTGAGTAAGCTAATGACTGCTTGAGTGAGTCAATACGTGAGTGGAGTGCAGTGCGGTTCTGTGCGCACGTTGAATGCCTTTGCAGTGCCTGGAACAGCAACTTGCATTGTGCCAGGCATGGCCCTTTCTTGTGGCTGCACACGCCACACTTCATCCATGTTCTCATCCCTCTCCTCCTGCATTTGCCTCACCTCTCTCTCTCTCTCTCTCTTCACAGAAAGCACCTGATCAAGCTGTTTTCAAAGTATGGCCAGATTGAAAACCTCAACTTCCTGTGGAACAAGGTGGGCCCCAAGCGCGGCCTTCCACGTGGCTACTGCTTCCTCACCTTCAAGCACGCAGCGGTGAGTCAACGAGAAGGTGTTGGCGCGTTGGGTGCTTTGGGTGCGTTTGCGTGCTTATGGTGCGTTTGCGTGTGTTTGCATAGGTGCGCGCGCGTGTGTGTTCGTGGATGCGCGCACGCTTGTGTGTGTGTGTGTGTGTGTTCGTGGATGCGCGCACGCTTGTGTGTGTGTGTGTGTGTGTGTGTGTGTGTGTGTGTGTGTGTGTGTGTGTGTGTGTGTGTGTGTTCGTGGGACTCGTTTGTGTGTATGCAAAAGGAGGGTTTGCGATGCTTTTAATTTGCGCGCTCCATCTTCTTCTCTGCTGCTGAAAGCGACTCACATTAGTTCTAAACACTCGTACGCATGCCCGCACCACCTTCCACCACTCCGTGCCGTGTTGGACTGGAACGACACAGAGCGCAAGAGAGGCCGTGGCGAAACTGCACGGGCGCAAGGCGTTTGGACGAGCCATCGTCGTCAGTCCCGCGCACGAGCGCGTGTATAACCAGTCACAGTCGTCCTCAAACTCGCTCTCATCAGCCGCAGCAGAAGAGAACATGCCACTCGAGTGCGTCGTGCCACCACCGCATTGCGTTTACTCTTGCATGATCATCGCTTGTCCTGCTGCTGCTGCTGCTGCTGCGCCTCTTTGCTCCCCAGCTGTCTCTCACTCCTTACCTTGTCTGCCACACACATACACACACATACACACAAATACACACACACATTCACACGTACGACAGTGCCTCGCGAAGGATTGCCTTGTTTGAGATGAAGCTGCAACAGCTGCGGTAAGGCCTGGCGTTGCGTATGTGTACTTGTGTGTGTGTGTGTGTTTGTGTTTGTGTTTGTGTGTGTGTGTGTACTTGTGTGTACATGTGTGTACATGTGTGTGTGTGTGTCGCATTATCGGTCGTTGTTTGCGATACAACGGCCACTGTGCACGTGAGGGTCTCCACTCTCTGCTGACGCAAATGCTTTGTGGATTTGCACGGTGTTGGCGGCAACAGCGGTGACGCGCCAGGGCCATACTCAACACAGCAGCAGCAGCAACAAGCAGAACAACAAGGACAGAAAGGAGAGACAGGCAAAGAACAAGCAGCAGAAGCAGCCGCTGAGAAGAGGAGGAAGGAGGAAGAGGATCAGGAGGAAGGAAGTGAAGAGACAAATGGCAATGATGGTGGTGAAGACAACCAACAGAGCGCCACAGCAGCAGACAAGGAGGAGCGGGGCAAGGAAGAGAAGGGCAAACAAGACGAGCAGACGAAAGAGAAGGAAGACAAGAAGGACAAGAAAGGAGGGGGTGCAGAGGGTGAATCGACCACGGACAAGAGCACAGGGGAGCCACCAGCCAAACAAGCCAAACAGGCGTGATGTGACACATGACATGGTGTTTGCTCTGGGTCGTGCGGCCTTGAGCTCTCACGTCATGTTCAGACTTTGTATTGCTTCTTGCGCGTACATGCACTGTGTAAATGAAAAGCACCCCCTCAGGCACCAGCAGTGACAAGGGTGTGTTCAGGGGAGAGGGAGGGGTGCAAATTAAGGAAGGACTGTTGGAAGAAGAGGGGCCAGCATAAATGTTGCTCTGTTTCGTGCGCTGGAACAAAGGCTGCGACCATCAAAGCAGAGCGAGGGCGCAGCGGCAACGGCAGCAACTGGGGCACCCACGGCGCAGACGGATTATGCAGGCAGCGTCACGGACACGCAGACACACGCGCAGACACACACACACACACACACACACACACACACACACACACACACACACACACACACACACACACACACACACACGAACACACACACAGCAATCAAGAGGTGTGTCACTCGTCTGTGGTGACAACGAGCCCCTCCTCGTCCAGGGCAACATCGTAGCAGGTGACGCCCGTGTCACGGAAGTGCTCCTCAATCAACGTGTCGAATGTCGCGCGCGCATGCGGCTCTTTGGTGATGACATACATGAAACCGCCACCACCGGCACCAGCCAGCGCCTGGCCGTATGCGTAGGGAGCAAAGCGATCCATGAGCCTGGTCGTCGTGTCGTGTTGTGGTGACGCGGTGGGATGGGATGTGGGAGAGGGAATTGGGATGGAGGATGAGGGGAAGCGGGTAAAGATGAGGCACAGGGATTCGGGACGCATCATTTCGGCAACACAAGCAACACATGCACATCGACAAGCAGATCAAGCAGTTCAACCATAGCAAGCAGGCACAACAAACAAACAAACAAACAAACAAACAAACAAACAAACAAACAAACAAACAAACAAACAAACAAACAAACAAACAAACAAACAAACAAACAAACAAACAAACAAACACACACACACACAAACAAACAAACAAACAAACAAACAAACAAACAAACAAACAAACAAACAAACAAACACACAAACAAACAAACAAACAAACACACAAACAAACAAACAAACAAACAACGTCACGATGGGTGTGCCACGTACCTGCGGACGTGCTGTGGTTCTGGCAGCGGTATGCATTCAAGCACTCGCCAATGGCAGCGAGATCCTCATCCCGGAACGCCTGCCATCGGTAACATGGTCGTTGTAGCAATGACAGTTGAAGGAACGAGCAGCACACCAGGGGCATACACGAAAGCTTCAACTGATGCATGCGCACGCCGACACAGGCAAACCACACACACACACACATGACAAAAGCGTTGATGCTGACCTGTGCACAGCGCTCTGCGTTCTCGACGAGTGCGTCTGTGTTCTCCACAATCACGGCCGAGCGGGCATACCTGTGCATTGGCGGGCAAGGATGGTCGTTGTGTTGCACGCACATATGAGAGATTCAAGCGGTGGTGCGTTGTGTACTATGTGTAGCGTGCTCGTTCTGTGAATGTGTGCGCATTGTATGCACGTGTGCATGTTTGTATTTCTGCACATGTGCATTGAGCGCGTGCTGCTCGTGCGATTGCGAATGGCAACCAACCAGTTTCGAACCACCTCCTGCAGCAAATTCTTCGCCAGTCGCGTCTTGCCCGTGAACACGATACATACATATATATATATATATATATATATATATATATATATATATATATATATATATATATATATATGTGTGTGTGTGTGTGTGTGTTTGGATGAGTGTGTGTGTGTGTGTGACAATGAGACAGCCGTGAAGCTGAGCCAAGCAAGCAGCAGTGACGCATGTGAACAAGATCGAACAAGGACATACAACTGCACAACAACACACACACACACACACACACATACCAGGTGGGCGGAAAACGTCTGTATAAACTCAGGTGTAAGCGGGAGCGTGTCCACGTCGATGTGGAGGGGAAGGGACGGTGCAGACCGGGTGAACTTCACACCGCCACACAGTCCGCCAACCTGGTGTTGATTGTGGTGGCGGTTTGGTTTGGGTTTACG